TGCGACGCAGCAGATCCTCCCTCTAAAAGGTTTATTTGCAGGAACTCTTAGTGTTCTTTCGATATCTTTCCTTTCTTAACCACCCTGCTCGGGACTCTTATCATCCAATTTGCTGGTATTTCTCGCTCGGAACCTATATATAGGTATGCATCGCTACAATATGTGCACCGGCTTGTATCTGGAAAGCTGGGTATAAACCATTGGCGCGTATCATTGGGCTATACAGCCATTGCAACCCGCAACACGAGGACAGAATACTCGGTGGGCCCTCAGCGTATTCTGGCTACTTCAGATTTGTAATAGTCTGTCAACCTTGAATCTGGCTTGATACCGCATGGGTGCTAATCGCTGATGACTGACTGTCGTTCGTGTCATCAATTGCGAGATCCATTCCGTCTGACCGCCACGAACCCAGTGTCTGCATTACTCCATTAATGCCCCTTCTCGTCTCTGCTAGCTTATCACGCATTATTTCATTTTGCGACTCCAGTATCTGCATATCGTAGCGCAGTTGACTGGCCTCATCCCGGAGCGTATGACTTTCGCGAAGACAGTCATCCAGTTGGGAACGAGTGCGTTCCAATTCATTTTCTATGCGGCTGTTGGTAGCCTTAAGCTCGCAGATCTCTGCGGTGAAAGAACCTTCCACCATTCCTTCGCTGAAACGTTGTGTCTTCATGCTCCGTCAGCAAGGCCATATTAATGAGGACATCCGGCAAGGGACTCACCTCCTTTGGAAAGCCGTCAGTATTGGACTGCGAGGTTTCTAGGGACTGCGGGTTGACAGCTTCGAGTGAGGAACCGAGTTCCTTCAATATTTTCCGGTAAAGGTTTATCGTGCCGCTACTTAGGTTTGATTTGAGCAAAGCAGCATTCGTTCTCGTCACCGACCAAGCGTATCCATCTTCAGGTCGCGGTTGGAGACGGACTCGTTCGGGAGCGACGACGAGGTGAAGTCGGTTATCTAGGTGTATTAGCTTGTGTGGGCAGCAGAAGGGGTTGGTAAATACATATATGAGCCGCTAAAAGCCACGTAGTAAAGAAGATTGGTGTCCATCTTCCTTGCAAACTTGTTCATCTTTTGGATTCCTCTTTCCACCGCATCCCGGATCTCGGTATCCACACCTTCAAAATCACCTTCGGCTTTTTGAACCTCGTCAAGGAGGTCGTCTAGACTCCAATAGATAGGCAAGCTCTCAACAATCGTGGGACAAGATTTTGATACGGAGTTGGTGTGATCCCAGAATGGCTTAAGAACCTTCGCTACTTGTTGAAGAATCGACCATTCGTTCTCGTTTAGTTGAAGGGCGTGAACTTCTGGATGCATCCGAACAAATTGTCCAAGTTCCTTCTGTAGCCGAAGGGCGTCCGCTATCATGATATAGGTTGAGTTCCATCGAGTGTCAACATCGTAGCCCACTTGCTTGGCTGGTGACACATCTTTCCAATTTTGGCGGCGCTGTGGACTGCGGGCAACCCATAGGGTCAGCAGCCGGATCTTCATGATTGCTCCCTTCGTGCTGTGGGCAGAGGTGAATGTTGGGCTACTTTGTGTGGCCATGTCGTCCAGTATAACCTTCGCCTCTCGAGCTGAGCCGGCCCTCAGGGAAGCAAGTACGTCCCTGCAAATGAGATTTATGACGTGGGCAAGGCAAGGAATGAAGCTCTGCCGTCCACGAAACCGCATAAGAGGTCTGATGCGAAATTGGTCGTCTTTATCGTCATAGTTCTTGAGAAGCTCGGCGTGAAGACTGTCGCAGAGAGTTCCATTGTTGGCAGCATTATCCCCCGTAATTGTGAGGAGCTTTGGCGCGACGTCTAGTTCCTCGAGCATTCTAATCACAATTTCCGCAAGGTTCTCCCCAGAGTGCGGTCCACATATGTCAGTAAACTCCAGAAGCTCTTCCCGCTTCTCAAACTCGGGTGAGATCCAATGGCCAATGATGCCCATGATCGCTATCTGATTCTCCGATGTCCAAACATCAAGAGACAGCGCAAGCGTGCGACTACTACTGGCTAATTCTTCTTTCACGCAAGTCCGGTTTTTGCGAAATTCCTCCTTGATCCTGTTGAAGAGAGTGTCGGCCGTCTTGATGGGTAATATAGCCCCTGTCGCTTCAAAAAGTGCCCTAAATGCCGGATGCTCCACTACCGTAAACGGCTGTCTCGTTTGGACAACCCATTGTATCAGCATTTGTTCAAGGCCCGCCCTTTCTTTTGCAGGTGTCAAAAAACTGTCCAGGGTCGTTCCGATAGTTGACGATGACGTGATGTCTGATCCGGAACTGATGCGGTGCTTAGCCTGGAGATGGGCCAACAAATTCGAAGTGGAGCCATAGCGTGCCGAATCCCTGGATGACCAACTGCACTGCCTACAGACTAAGAGCCGATCCTTCTTTGGTGGCCCACCCTTTCGACGCCAGGTGTTGTCTAGCTCTGTGATCCAGAAATGCTCGAGGGTCCAGCTAGAATATGACTTGGCTTTTCGTCTCTTGTAAGTCGGTGGGCTACTCTGACTGCTAGTCAACCCTGATAGCGTGGGATCTAGCGGTGCGGGCGAAGACCTGGGAATGGGTAAGGACAGCACGGATGGGGACGTCTCTTCGCCTTCTGTAAACTCGGATGGTGCTGGTGAGCAGGGGCTCTCTATTTCACGAATATTTCCTTCCCATGGCTCAGGGAGTAGGGAGGGTGTGCCATTGTTCAGAGCATTGTAGTCGCGACGCGGAAGACCACGCGTCTTTCGCACAAATGGGTTAGGTGAGGATGCCATTCTGTATTTGCTCAGTGTTAGTAGTCCAAGTGGTACCTGGGAGCGAGGCGGGGCACACCTTTAGTATCACTCGACAATACTTGATAGCATGGCGGGTCGGAAATGAACGGTGAGAATGAAACAATGATGGGGAAACACTAGCTGTGCTTTCGCCTGATGCAATCCCAGTAAAGTGGAAAGTTGATAGGTCTTTTCTTTACACGCGGCGGTTTCTCGCTCGCGACTCTCATGGTAAACAATCTGTAACCTGCATGAGAAGTGAGTTAAGGTGGCATGATAAACGCGTTTTTACGTGCCAATAGTCATGGTTATAATAAATCTAAACTTTGGAGTAGATCGAGTGGGAACAAGAGAAGTTATGGTAGTCGATTTAACTAGAGCAGCAAAGATGTGGAAAGACGACTTGTAGATATATATAATTTCGCTCGACTTTCTGTAGCAACCGTTGGTCACCAAAACTAGACATTTACCTATAAAAAATCACGAAAAATAATGACGCAGAATACATAGAGCTTACCGAGCCCTACAATATAGGGTATATACTTCAGAACATGGATTGCATGGGAAATATTTTCTACTTATGCTTGACCGAGGCTGTGATCGCACTTGAAATACAAGTTGGCTAGTGGAAACGTGTATTTCTGTAATACAAAAACCGGGGAAACGGAAGATCCATTAATGCGCGCAAAATGCATGATATGAATAATATGAATGCGAATATGAATAATGCGCTTATTCGCATTCATTTATTCCTTTCGGAGCCCTACAAACATATATCTGATCTGACGAGCACCATACGCCGAAGCGACAAGAGCGCTATGCGGAGCTGAGGCGGGGTCATACTCGCGCCCTGTTCCCCTTCCAAGAGATGCAACGAAACTGACATATATGTAGGCGATTTTTGATCGTGACTACGCTCCATACCAGCTTTTGAACAGCCGATATTTGTCTGTCGCTCACGGGCGCAATGGATTATGGTATATTTCAGTGAGTAATTAGAACCAATCAGAATTCTTTCGAATAGATATTTTGGCAACTACAGTTTTTGGCCCCACCCTTGCTTCAGTGCGACAAATCTGGAATAATGAAACAACTTATTTATTAATAAAATGAATTACGGAGTAATTGATATCACCCATTTGTTGAACACAATACGGGAGCTGACAAATTTATCAAGCTAGAATTCACAACCAAGACAAACGGAGTGAGCCAACTTAGCTGATTATGGTCAAGAATTGAGAAAAAAATAAAATAAATATTTCTCGTCTACACAGTGGGTCCTGTTACTATTTTGGATTTAAATTCTTTTTTCTTTTTAATAATTAATGAATATTCGAATATTGCACTAGGTGATCGGCAGATGGGGCCTTGCCACTGATTTATGATTGGTTGCATTTGTCCGCATAAATTTCCACAATTCACCCAACGCGCTAACATACAGGGGTTTGAACGAAGAGGGGAAACAAATACGGTTTGGGGGTTAAGAGTAGACTTACAGAGATAAAGATTGTTAGCCTCAATTGATGCATTTAGGTTGACTCCTCTCTCAAGCAGAGCTGGACTGATTCCGGATCCCCTTCGACTGAAGTAGTCAGATCACGTGAGATAATATGACAACGGAGAGTCTCGGACCAAGAATGAAGTCGGCAATCCAGCAACTCGCTTTAAGGATGGCCGGGGGCACAGCCTGATGTCGTTGCCATAATTTCTTGCGATGGAGATTATCTAATGGTACCTAATTAAGGGCCCTTCTAGATTTCCCGGGCGTGGTATGGGACTTATCGCGACCAGAACAATAGAGGAGAGCTACACCTGAGGGCTATCCTGAATATCACTCGGGGAGAAGTTCAATGAATTGCACGTTCCAAAGGTAAATGAGAGTACGATTGCCGTTCCTCTGTCGACAATACTCAAAATTGACTGCGTCATGAGAGGTCGATCGCTTTCCGCACGAAGCCTTCATCCATGGAATCCTCACCCCATTTTCGAGACACGGGGATGCGGGCTCACTTGCTTATTGGGCTGCCTGTCGTAAGACTTGGCCTTCTCGACAACATTTTCAAGTGTCCTTGCCGGTACTGTGGCCTGAAAGTCCGGGAAGTAATAATCGCCCAAATCAGAGTGTGCGTAGTTGTCGGGCCTCTCTGAGCTAGACTTCAAGTTGCGAGAATGCGTTCTGAAGAGTGTCTCCCGCTAGCCTTACCAGAAATGCTTGCGCTATGCTTCCCTATTCGTCGTCATCCACACTCGGACCTCCAGACAGCTCCAACGCATCATGCACAGCGAACGCATACAATTTGGTATTTTCAAAGTGTGCAACGCCATCCCACATCAGACGATATAATGAACCCTTTAAATAACAAATGAGGGTCTCGCACTCCCATGCCTCGACTGGATGATGCTGTCCTGTCTCTGAGAACAGCGGCTCGGCGATCGGTTCAATATGCTCGTATGTCATACTGTCCAGGCAGAATGTGGCCAGATGTTGCCGCAATTCTTCCACAGCGGGGTCTCCTACCATGAGTCCTTCGTAGAACACCATGATGCACCAGTGGTTCATTGGCCCAAAAAAGCCTCCAACCACACGGAAAGAGGATTTTCTCTTCAGTCCGTGAAATGCTGCTGATTGTTCTACTAACAGTGGGATGCTGTCTCGTTCATTGCCCTGCCGGAGGAAGCCAACTAAAACGACCGTCGATTGAATCATGAGAAAGGTGATCTGGTATTTCTCTCTGAAAACAACGCATGGAATTGAAGACAGCGACGGCAAGACCTACTTTGTCATATATATATGCGCAGTCCTCCCGCAATCCTTGAAAAGCCCTGTAAGGGTTGGAACCGCCATAGGTCATGTTCCGAGTCCCACAAAAAAGGTAATAGATAAAATAGGGTAAATAAAAAAAGGAATGAATATGGAACAGACACTAGCCAACTGTGGTAAGCGGGAGGCTCGGGGGAAGCTAGAGCCAGGGTTGCTTGGACTATCCGCTACAAAATCAACCCCGGTAAGATTTCGCAGGGCTCACCAGATGCATATGCTGGACTCCCAGGACCCATCGTACTTCCTTTCAATTATGTACAGTTTGACGATGCATAGTATAGCATCGCAGTATTGTAACAGCCATCGTAAGCAGGCTAGTGGGTCAGTGATGCTGTTAGAATACGGCTTGGAGAGTACATTTGGAAGCAGGAATTATCAGACTACTTAATACGCTACGCATGACAATATCGCGTTTTGAAACCATACGTGCGGTTAAAAACATCCCAGTCTCCCATCCTAAGCGGCCAGAAAACAGAAAGTGTAGACCACCTGAGGAAAGTGTCCTGGTGTTGTGAAGCCCCCTTGGAACTGTCAATTGCGCTCATTGGGCCGTCAAAAGCACGAGGTTTCATCGATTCTACCGTTTCGGGCCCTACAGTGGTCTAGTGGGCCTCTTGGTTCATTCAAAATCTACGTAACACGCTTTGTATTCGCGCTTCGGCTACACCGAAGGCATCGTACAATACTTTATTTTGGCTTATGAGCTTAACCCGAATGGCTGCATCTATGGAATATCCTCACGATCCAACGGTAGGCTAAAGGGTAGATTCAAGCATTTACACTAAGAACCACGGTTCAAATCGACTAAGTGAGCGATGATGATTAGTAACCGGAGATGTATTGATTGCTGTGAGGCAGCGGAAAAAAAGTCTCGATGAGTAAAACATGACGACAACATAAATTGAAATAGAAGGCACAAAGACGAATACCATGTAACATTGGTCTTGGCGGCCAAGTACTTAGCCATCCAATACAGCATGTGCGTCGAGTAATGGGGTGTCATCCAACATCACTGAAAATATATGTATTTTCCATTTATTCTTTGCCCCTTTGTCTTGGTTATTCGAGTTATAGCCACGCTGGGTTGGGTCCATTAGCCGAGTTTATGCTTGGTCCGTAGAATGACTAATCTAATACAACTCCCTGTTTTATGGACAATAGCACCCGACATCGCCTTTCATGTCAGAAACATAAAGATGCTCTTTCAAACCCACATCACGTGATAAGTGGACATAACATGTTTTGTACCTTCCTGTAATAATACCAGTTCCTGGTATGAATTTTAAGGAAGATATACGGGGTTAGATTTAATGCATGGACCCTTAAAAGATTCCACGCAAACATAACCAACAGCGCACCTTAGGTCCTTTGCGTTTATTCACTCCAGCGAGAGCCCCTGCTTATCTTGGTATTAATTCGTGGCTTTGCTGCCTTCTCTTTAGGGCTCATGCGAGTGCGAAATCAAATGAGGACGGAATTCGAGTTTCGAACATTCCGTCAAGAGTTGTATGTGTCTGCCAGAAGTATTAGTGGATGGACAGGAAGAAGGTAGGACAGTACTGACTGGAACACAGTGGAAAAGGTTAGGAGTTAACGACGAAAACCGGTAGCAAGGGGTGAGAAAGCCTGCTGCTGCCATTCGATGCTGGCAGCGACCTCATCCACCCACGCGGAGGCACGATTGAATTAAGAGGATCATTTGATTTGGAAGGATACTATACTGTGTCATTGGAAATTGGCAAGATTGCTACGGAGAAGATTGTGCCCGAGACGTGGGACCTAATCGAGTGGAAGGTTCGTGACTTGGACAGATGGAACAACGGCACAGTGGAGGCGGATGGAACGTACTCGATCAGAATAAATAGGAGACGCACCACTTCCACTACAGCTACCGGTACAGAATCTATGGGAGGAGTTACGGGGAACTCCTTTGTCATGGAATGGCCGGGAAATTTGGTGCATTCCTAAGTGGCACTGGCATTTGCGGCTTCGGGTGCAAAGCAACCAAACGAAACGTTTTGGTATATAGAGGAAGACTAGCACAAGAAGGAGCACGAGGACCTCGCGTTGCCGAAAACCGCAGCGTATAACAAACTACGTGGAGGATGCTACAGCCATCACAGCGGACGCTTCTTTCAGAAATTGACATATATCTAGAAGTGCCACCAGTGAGCTGATCCCACCATGTGAGTGACGACGCAGAAGAAGAATGAGTTCTCAAGTGGCGGAAGGCAAACGCATTTAGTTTTCCACTCATGGGAAAGGCAGCCCAGGATTCCATCAGCGGATGTAGGGATCGAACGCGAGTCCAACAATACTAGAGATGTATTGGACTCAGGAGACACTAGGTGCGGCTAATATGCGATTGCTTATGCTTTCACCAGGAAAGGCTTAAAAATAGCTTTCTAGGCTAGTGATTGTGATAATACTCAGATTGTTATATCAAAAGTAGTAAATTGCGAGGAATGGAGTATAGATCCACGAATTATGGCTGTTGCATTGAGAGTAACAGCACGAACGGTAACTTATGCTTTCTCAGCATATATATAAACATGAAGTGTTCATATGTTCATGAATTTTGCGAACATGAACACGAGACATATACATATTCATATCATGCAATTCATATTATTCGAGTTTCGCAATTATCCATGAATATATATGAATAATCATGTTCCTTTCGGAGCTGTACCCAAAGCAGACCGACATCTTTCCCACTCATCGTCAATCATAGTAATATAAACATGATCAAATGCGCCTAAATAATTCGCATTAACTCTAGCGAAGTTCTCTGCATCTACCAGGTACTAAGCCAGCACCGGCCCGAAGTTCTTTTTGACTAGAAGACGAAGCTGCTCTGTTGTAGGTAATAAAAAGCGCTAGGACAAACCTTAAGCAAGCGCATTTCACATGCGCGCCACCCGGCCCGAATCACCATAGTAAATGCGATAAATTACAGCTTTATATCTCAACAACCATGGCCTATAGGTATTTTCCTTTGGATTTGGACGCTTGTATTGGGACGACGACATGGCGTGTTTATTTTTGGATCAGTAATGATACATTATATTACAATATTTTTACGTCTGTTAATTACCGTTCAACGTCGGAACATGACTGACAATACGGACTAACCTTTTCTGGACCAAATGGGCATGTGATTAGGGTTTGAAAAAGCATCTCTCGATTCCCAAATATGGAAGGCCAAGTCGGGCGCCACTGTATTAAATTGGAAGGGGAAAGAATTGGAAGATACAAAGAATAGATTTCAGACGTGCCTTGGTCCCCGATGAGAAGAGAAAGGTCTATTTCTGACCATAATAAGTCAGGGAAAGAGCGTCATGTGACATAAGCAGTAGTAATTTTGCGGAGTCTCTATACGATGAGTATATAAGGTGACCCTTGACTTTGGCTTTCTTTCGTAAATTTTTCAACTTTGTTGCAGGTGGCGAGTTTTTCTTATCGACGATGTGTCCAGGCAATGATAAGCATGGGTCGGTACGGGAAGCAGCACTCACGTCGAAGGTTGCTCTTGAAGAACTGAAAGCGGCGATGCTAAGGCTGGAATATGCGTACTCAGGCTCTGGAGGAGGTTCGAGCGAAAGCGAGAAAGCAAGATTGCAACAGGAAGAGTTGACACGGCGCGCGGAAGCGGATCTTGCTCAGCAAGCGCTCGAAGAAGCCATAGCAAGACAGCTCGATTGAAGGAATTTCATTCGAAAGGCACGCGCAATGGGTCCACACGGAACTCATGACATCATGGTCCATAACTTGGATGGAAAAGCGTTACACGAAGACATCTATCTTCATCCATGTGGTGCACGTTCAGTGAGAACTGGCTAAGGGAGACATAGGAGGTGCCACGGCGACTTGATATTATTTCATTTCACAATGGCGGCGGAGTGAATGCCGTGCTTAATTCATCATGGAACCATGTTACTACGGTGTATCTGCCCTACCTGATTTTCTAAATACAGGAGTCTTATTCGTAGGATTCAATGAGAATTGCAGCATGTAAAGCAGCTTTCAATCGTTGAAACCGAGTTTTTAGAAAGAGCACGGAGTAGCTTCGTCTTGAATGTTCCCATATTAACGTATGTCAAATGTGTTAGCCAGCAATTCCGCACGCTCCAGACAAAGGTCTTGCTTGTTATTACTAAATATATTATGCAAATAATTGCTCGGTTCCAGATATAAGGTGGAAAGCGCAGGAACGCTTGAGCGCCCAAATCGTGGTAACACTGGTGTGTAGAGAAAAATATACCGGGTCCAAGTAGAGATAGGAAGAATATTTACGCCGTCTCACTTGAAGCGAGACACTTTGCCGTCACTGGGGCGTCAAAGCCGTTCAATCAATGACCACCTTTTAATCTCCTACCCTGTAATGCACACCGCTGTACGGAAGGCACGAAAATGTATAAAGTAACGATATGACGGGAGTAAAGCAAGGCGGAATGCTGGAGGCTGCGTAGAAAATCTTCTGGCATTGGATTAGATTTGACTATGGCAAACTACGATATACTTATATTGGGACGTTAATTTCCTAAAAGTCCAGTTTGACCGTTGTTGGGATTCTTCCTCTGAATGGCCTGCGGGTGCTACGTTGCCTTTCTGGACTGCCACCCCTCTCTCGGGAAACACGTGATAGTTCATTGACAACTGAGGAATGCTCGCCATTGACTGCCATTTTTAAGGAGTTTTTGTCCCACCTATTCCGAAGGTAGATATGTGCCAAGCACCTTATATAACTATCCAAACCACGGAATAAAGTGGTTGCCCGGACGTTTTTTTGCAGGTTATCGCATTGTTGTAACGCCCTCCAATCATTATTACTAGCGTTATCGCCAGTAATTGAAAGCAGCTTACGCTCGTACAGTTCGGCAAGTCGAGCTTAAATAGCTGCAACCAAGTTCTCTCCCCTTATACCATAGAGCTCTTTGAATTCAAGGACTCTCGCTTGATAGTCAAATTCGACTGTAAGCCAATGGCCAATGACACCAAGAATTGGGATATGGTTCTTGCTGGACCAACATCAACGGACAGAGCGATTAGTTGGTATTTAGTCGCAATCTCTTCTTTTAACTTAGCCCCTTGTAGGCTAAAGTCTTTCAGAAGATGGTGTCGAAGTGGATGTCGAGAGGTAAATGGGAGTGAGATTTCTGGTATATACAAGAATAATTGCTGACATTCTGGTGACTCAATGATTGTAAATGGTTGTTTCCTGCTAATAACCCGACGAAAAGATTATTCTCAAGAGGTGGTTAAGCCGTAATCTTTGCCTTCCTACCCCCAAGTGTAATAAGTTACACTTTGGAGCTGGATCAGGGGGAGTTCTCGGTATTTATATTCATTAACGGACCTATCAAGACTCTCGCTCTAAAGCCCAGAGATCTAAAAGCTCGGCCATTTACCGCGGTTGGCATTCCCAGAACCCTTTTTTAATTCGCACCGCTCTCCGTCGATCCACGGAGTGGACAGTGTTAGAATGAACCACTCGATACACCCACTTGGTCCTGGAGTTTCCCTGCTATGCTCTTGGCTATGTTTGACGTTCAAGGCCCTTTTTATTCCTTGGGCAGGCCCGCCAGATGTTCCCCTATCATACGCCCCATCAAGTCATAGCCACGAGCTGTTAGATGCAATCCATCATCAAAAATCTCCTCCCTGAAGTCCTCTGAGGCTGTCTGGTACGGGATCTTGCTGCATAAATCGAAGGTATGGCTATGGCAGGCGATTTAGTACATATTTCCATGAATCAAGTTCGAAAATTAAGACACACATTCGCTTAGACCGATGTGTCAGTATGTACGAATTCAACGTGGCTCGTCTTGTATCTAGGGTCTGAGATTTGACTCCACATTCAGGGATTGTCAAGACAAGCAGGTTCACGCCAGTAGAGAGAGCCGCGTTCCAGGATTCTTGCAGAGCAGAGTATATATTTCCAGGCTCGTTCGCGTATCCTAAGTCACTAAGAGGAAATCTTTTAGCAAACAAGCGCAGTCATCCAATGCAATAAAGAAAAATGATGTATTTTTAGTTCCACCGAGAAAGATGACCCAGTCGTACCGTCGCTTCGCACATTTCTCTCGTATCCGAGACAAGTATACCCCCGGAGGGGATACCGCCAGATCACCTGGCATTCCATCCACATCGACAATGATTTCAGTGTTCGATGATGCTGCCTCGAGACTCTGCTTGAGTTTTCCGGCTTACGGGTGGTATTCATGCCCGTAATTGTAATAACCTGCAGTCAGAGAGTCGCCGAAGCAAAGGAGAGATAGTTTTATTTTCATATCCTCGTATCGCTTTGTTTAAAGACAGCTAACTGAGGTCATAGGAATTTGACACGAGGCCGAACCTTGGGCCGACATGCGTCGCCATGGTCGGGCTATGTGATGCTACTGTCCTAAGTCTCCCGGGCACACCCAAAGGCGGAATATTGCACAATGCCTACCCTCAGCCTGCCCGGCGGGCAGAGGTGGGCATCAGAGGTAGAACTTGAAAACAAAAAAGCTTGACGGAATTTGGCAACGAGCCCTCTTCGTTCGGGGGTTTCAAAAATACGACACTCCCATCTACCAGAAGTATGCAAGGTCTACAGACGCCATCTAAGTCCACAGTCTCGGCAGGGTTCTAGATAGTTTTCTCGCAATTGGATGCACCTTGGACGCGCTTCCGCGTTATGAAAGCACGGTCCTGCGGCAGGAAGCCAAGAAGAGACTTACTCAATAAAATATTCCTCGTTCGATTTAACGGGCAATCCATGATTAGAACTAGAAGACCTGGGGTCGCAGGGAATTGACCTCGTGTGCCGCAGTCGAAACATCTCACGTTTATGTAAGGTGGCGAAATATGACGGTTTGCCGAAATGTCGTGATGGTACCTCCGACACAAATGAACACCTCTCTAGTAAATAAAATCGTAATCATTTAGGTGATAAACCGTAGCTATATTCTGCCATTCATATTATATATTGTATCGGTACAAACCTTTAATACGGCGCGTCGATCTTGTTTCTGTTGCCTGAATACCGGTCGTCGAGAACCAGCAATAATATATCACTGGGATAGAATCTTTGCTCTTCACACCGCCGCATAGGTTGTATAACCCGTGAATTTAAATGGTTTCTCAACAGCCAGTATCAAAAATATTCAAATGTTCTGTTGCTGTCTATTCAATCATGCGAGAACTCAATCGCACCATTTCGACCAGTGGGTACTTACGTATAACTCTTTTGCAAAGTCTTTCATGACGAATATTAGGCGGAGTGGAACATGTGGCTGGAAATTATAAAGGGGCTCTCAAAGATGGCGGTGGGAGAATTTTTTTCTCTTCACCTTTGCCCAATGTAGCTATTTGGTAGTGCTGTCATGCCTACCCACCGCCCACTAGGCGAGATACAGATCGGTCGTCCTCGAACGAGAAGATGTACATAACTAAAAGAATCCACGGATACAAACATGATGAGCACAAGAAAAGTGTAAATAATCATCATTGACCCCTTGCCCTCCTGCAACAGGGATCAATCGGTGGACGAATAACTGGATCTTGAAGTCGGAGCGACCAGAAGCTGTCGTTTGATTTTTCCCGGCTTACGTTGAAGAAATCGGGCCTCAGCACCTCACTGTTACCACTTGAATTCCAGCTGACATACACTGGCCCCTTCATGGATCGCGATATGGACTCGGCGCCGGACAGCCGTATCCATGATTTTGAACCTGACAAGTGGCAACGAGATGTCTTGGACCAGATCGACGCCAAGAAGAGCGTGTTTGTTGTTGCCCCGACTAGCGCGGGAAAGAAGTTCATCTCGTAAGTCGCTCTCAAATTCCCCTTGATTGACCTGGTATGTCGTGTTGCTAGCGAACACCATGAGAGACTAACATCCACGTATAGCTTCTACGCCATGAAACAGATTCTGGAAGACGACGACGACGGGATTCTTGTCTATGTGGCACCGACAAAGGCCCTGGTAAACCAGATCGCCGCAGAGGTTCAAGCGCGATTCTCAAAGTCGTATCCGAGTAAGTTCAGCGGCAAGTCAGTGTGGGCTATACATACTCGCGATTACCGCATCAACAGCCCTGTTGGTTGCCAGGTGCTCATTACTGTGCCGCACATTCTCCAGATTATGCTACTTGCGCCGGCCAATGCCAATTCTTGGTCATCCAGAGTGAGGAGAATCATCTTCGACGAGATCCACTGCATCGGACAGGCGGAGGACGGCGTTGTGTGGGAGCAGCTTCTACTGATGTCACCGTCTCCCATCATCGCCCTTTCTGCTACCGTGGGCAACCCTCAAGAGTTCTGCAACTGGTTAAGCCTAACTCAGAAGGCAAATGGTGTCGACTTGAAGATGATCGAGCATCGGCAGCGATACTCGGACCTCCGCAAGTATATCTATCATCCGCCGGAGCAGTTCTCCTTCTGTGGGTTGTCGGAACCTCGGCAGATGCCTCCTCTGGGCCTCGAAGACGTGCCTGGCTTGGCTTTCGTCCACCCAGCTGCCAGTCTTGTGGAAAGCTCAAGAGGCATGCCAGACGACCTGAGTTTTGAACCGCGGGATTGTTTGATGCTTTGGAAGGCTATGAAAAACCACGAGACCCCAGAGTTCCTTGTGGACAGATCGCTGGATCCAACTCTTTGCCTCCCTAAGATTGTTCGCAAGGCAGACGTGGTGCGGTGGGAAACAAAACTCAAGGCTCTGCTGACAGAATGGATCATAAACAATGCGTCGCCGTTCAACCTGGTCTTAAATGAATTGACGGAATCCGCAGAATGTGTAAGGCCCACACTAGTCACATTTTCCAAGGAACCACGTACGGTGGGCGCACCAGTTTCAATTGATTTTGACAATCTTCTCAGCACTACACTTCCCCTGGTTTGCTCATTGCACAATCAGAACCCACTGCCTGCGTTATTCTTCAGCTACGACCGGAGCATGTGCGAACGCATCTGCCGAAGACTGCTCGACGACCTCGTGGCTGCCGAAGAGAACTGGAAAGCATTGAGTCCGGGTTGGAAGAGGAAGCTGGCAAAGTGGGAGGAATGGAAAAGAGATCAAGAAAAGCTCGCTAGGAAGCGGATGCCTAAGGCTTCCAAGAAGGGTGCCGCGGATGGCGACGACATGTCTCGCGCAGAACGCATGCGCGAAGCTGCTTTGGCAGAGGCAAGTCAGTTTGAGTCATTCAGTCCCGATGCCCCCGTGGATGGCTTTCATGTGGCCAACGTCAAGAAACTGTCCGCTTCCACCTTTGAGGAGTACGCGGTGCAGCTTCGCCGACGTGAAGTGGCCAAATGGCTGATTACGGCGCTGCGACGGGGGATCGGCGTCCATCATGCCGGTATGAATCGCAAATACCGTCAAGTTTGTGAGATGCTCTTCCGCAAGGGGTACCTGCGCGTTGTCATAGCCAATGGGACACTGGTTCTGGGTATCAACATGCCGTGCAAAACGGTGGTCTTCTCTGGTGATTCAATCTTTCTGACCGCGCTCAATTACCGCCAAGCTGCTGGTAGAGCCGGTCGTCGAGGGTTTGACATGCTCGGAAATGTCATTTTCCAGGGTATCCCCCATGCCAAGGTCTGCCGTCTGATTAGTTCGAGACTTCCACATCTGAACGGCCATTTCCCAATCACTACCAGTCTGGTACTCCGGTTGTGTACCCTTTTGCATGAGTCGAAGAATGCGCCTTATGCTGTTAAAGCGATCAATTCCATTCTGTCCTGCCCGCGGATCTATCTGGGCGGACCCGAAATGAAGGATACCGTGCTCCACCACCTGCGATTCTCATTGGAGTACCTTCGACGTAACGACCTTCTGGACTGCAATGGAGCACCCTTGAATTTTGCAGGATGTCTCAGTCACTTAATTAGTCACAAGCTCAAAACTACGCTGCTATCGCTGATGCTCGTTATGTGTCACTTGTTCGGCCGGCCGTATGTTCGTCAGGCTATTCTCGAACAGATCCAAAGCAGGACCAGAAAATCGACTTCTATTGTTGTCCTGCCTACTATGCCGAAGAGAGCGGTAAACATTCTGCGGACGCACAACGAGAAGACGCTCGATGTGTACAAGGCCTATGTCGCCACTTTTATTGAGCAGCACGTCACTGAACCCGACCGCATTCTTCCATTCACGAATACCAAATGTGGAGGCAACAAGTCATCAACGGAGCTGGGTATCCTGCCGTCTGCTTCCACGCGAAGGATCCGCATTACTTCTCCATTTCACGCGTTGTCAGGGCACGGCGACAATTGGAGCCAAATCTCGGAGCTCTGTAAAACCGTTCGCAGCGGAGTGTGGCTTGAAGAAGCCGTCGTTCCATACATGGGTGTGAACCCAAACGAACGTGCGCCTCTCAATGCCTATCTGTACGACTTCTTCAAGCATGGCAACGTCCGTGCATTGGAACGAGAAAACGCTGTCCGCAAGGGCGACACCTGGTTCGTGCTCAATGACTTCTCGCTCATACTTGCGACGATCGTGGCGAGTTTGGAAAACTTCCTGAAACTGACACCTGGCACTGAACTTGACATGTTGGATGTGATGGGTGGAGGCGAAACTTACGAGATGGAGATGGATGTCAACAAGGAAGACGTGGGAACGGCAACGTCCACACATAAAGCCAGGTATCAACAGTCCAGAAATAATTTGACTAGTCCTGTAGCTCCAACGCCTTCGAATGCTCAGGAAATGAGAGTGGCGGAGAATTGGGATGACGATTTGGGTGATGGAACCGGAGAAACCAAGGACGGCACCGAAGATGCTTCGAAATGTCTAGATGATGCCTTGAAGCTGGCCAGGGAAGCAAAGGAGAAAGAGAAAGCAAGTAGGAGGAAAGACCGGGCGACACAAGGCATGAGTGAAGGACCTACAGAGCCTGCCGACAAGAAGGTCAATTCCGCTACTGAAAATGACGGGGATGATCGTATTCTGTTAGTGTTGAAGGCTTTCAAGATGCTACAGAACGAGTTCAACGGGAAGTTCAGGGCCATGTGGGCATAGACGGCTTTGATGTATCATTGCTGTATGGGGAATCAGTCTGTCCATGAGAAGTGTGAGAGTACCCAACACTATCTTGTTGAATCCTATTCCGTGCATGCTGTTGTTTTGAGGAAAAAAAAAAAAAAAAAAAAAACCTCAGCAAAGCATGATACACCAAAAATACTACGAGCCTTTACATGGAAGTTGGAGGATATCCAGGAGGGTGGAGGGTCTCTCAGTCACCCAAGGGAGGAAGGCAACAAGTCTAATTGAGAGAAGGCAGTTTTTGGAGATCGCCCAAGAACATGCAACGAAACACTCTGTTAAAGTACACAACTATCTGCACTTCCCATGACTCCCTCAATCCTCTGTCCTAGCTTATCCGGAATGAAACATATGGGTGCATGAGAAGGAGGGGGAGTATACGGGATAAGCGATATGCAGTGCGGCTAAGATGCAGGAGGGGGCCTGATCACGCTGTCAGTGGAAGTCTATGCTCCGGTTACTCTTATAGCGAGCACAAAACGTTTGTGGTCTGGGATCTTCTCAACAATACCAGGCGGGCAAAGATAGCCACGAAGGGGTACCGACATGATCTAAATGATTCTTGGCAAGTGCTCAGTGAAATTCATGACCTTCTTGTTCGCATTCGTCGCCTGGAGATATCTGTTTGGAACAACAATTTAGAAAGAATCAAGGTCTTACATCATCGTCAAGCAACTGCTGCCTGGGTCGTATCTGGGGAAATTACTATCGTCTCCATATGCAAGACTGTTGGCACCGTTAAGATTTGGAAACCATTGCAAGGCTACGAACCCATAAAATTGGATATTCCCAATGTGGAAATGGCCCACCCCATAAACCATGGATGCATACGCTTCGATACTCGCTCCGGGGAGTCAGTTCACTTCGCGCATGAGAACCCGCCGCTCGATGACCACATATGTGCCAAGTTCAACGATGGGTCATATATCAAGAGACAAGTTGAATTTCCCAACAACTCGAGTATAACTCGGATGAAATTCACAACATTTGATGACCAGGACAAACGGAAAGGTTCATTCGATGAGTTTTTTGCCTGGCAATGTCTTGCCTACCTGGACAGGTATCTGATCACTACAGGCCACATGTCTGAGGTCAGGGTGTGGTCGAAAGATGGCATGCTGCTTGCAAAATCGAGGAATACTTTTTGGTATCCAAAAGTGGTTCTTTCTAAAGACGGCCTCACTATTATCATTCTTGATTACAATACATTCCCAAGCTATGCTCAGGCCAGGATTTCAAAAACTGAGATATGCTCATTCATTTGAAAAGTCTACACTTTGGTTGTTAGAATTCAGGATTGTTTGATATTTTCGTCTTGAAGAAAATAGAAGTAACTGCATATACAAAGAGTAAATCAAGGTAATCCTATGTGGTAATACGTATCGACTGTTTGTCATAACTTCACCCACCCACCCTTCCAAGCATCGTGTAGTCTGTCACACCTTTCGACCTATCGCTCGTGACTGGCTCACTCGTCAATCTCCCCACCCTTCTCCTATGTGCGTTGCGAGTAGGAGAACCCGTTCTCTGGCTCTCTCCTACGCAGGTTGGTCCGTCTTTAGGTAGACCCACTTGGTCCCTTCATTCGCGTTATACACCCTGACTTATTGGCATCATTCTATCCTCTGACAGACCATGTGTCTTCCTGTCGTTGGACTTGGGGGCATTCAGTTAAGATACCGGAAGAAGAAGATGGGTTTATTTTTGGAAGCGAAATCACGGGTACTCGGTTGCCGTGCTAAGCCTTACGGGGTCAATGATCTAAAGGTCTTCTTTCCAGAATCTTGCTCAAGTTCCTAGCTCATAGGAATCAGTGACAGGTAAAGCCTTCCGGGCGAAGTGAATATATTGACGATGAAGATGTACGTAGCCACCACACAAGAATCATGAGAGTTAAATGTAACTCATCGCCCATTCAGCAAGCTTCATATTGTCACAAGTCTTTTTAAGGTGGAACCCAGCGGAATTCCCCTATTTGCTTTCAATGAATTGAGTAAACAAATAATAAATCATGCCTAGGAGAATTGGGCTTGAAGACTACAGTGCTGTCCCGTTTCCACCAGAATCTCGCGAGTTCTAACCCAAGGAAAGCGTAAGTCCGAAGAAACCTCCCAAAAGGAGTATAGAAAACAAGAAAAAGCCAAAAGGGTGTCACAAACTCGGCGTGATAGTCCTTCTATCAGTACTTGGAGTGCCATCGAGAGTGTTGCTTATTCTGGGTAGAGCCAACGGAGGTAAGCAATGTGTACCTTTTGCATCGCTCTGTTACTGAACGAAATCTAGTACTATCATCGTTATCCTACATCTGCAGTAGTGTTCTTATCATTATCCTTGGATGGCTGAAGGCGGATAATAGGAAACGTACGTTGGTTGGTATCACCTTGACAGCTTTACTTTCGACGTGAGTACCCGCGCAGGACATAACTTTTCATATCCTGACTGAGTTCCATTCCCTCTAGTCCAGCCGTTTTCTTCATACTCGGAACTTGTGATATTTACCGCCAGGATAAGCTCTCGAGCCAGAGTTGTAAGTCTATCCAAATGTTGATGGCACAACCACACGTCCGAAATTGCTAATCCCTCGGCAGACCCGATCGTGAGATCCATCTTTTGGATGATGTAGGGACATATACTCTCAATCATATCCCACTGACACTCACATTTCTACCTTGTAGACAGAAGTCGTCGCGGCTATTGGTTCCAGGCTACTTCCGAATCGTTCACTCATACTGGATCGACACGAGAAGAAACAGGACGACATACCATATTGTCCCAGTCTCATACCACATCTGAAATTACACGAGAGGACGTCAAGCAAAACAAAACGGGAATTTTGCTTAAAGTCACGTCACGGCTGGATCATATATTTGGCTATTGAAGCTCACGCACAAGGTTACGATGCATCGGATTGACTGTTGAAATTTTCTATAAACCTCCTGTGACTTAGCTAGTGCCTTGACGGCCATACAAGCGCTGCTTTATAGTTGAAGCAAGAGCTCGTGTCGCGTACACTTGACCATGCTCTAGTACAGGGCTTAGGCTAGTTTCTCGAAGTAAGAATGACAGATAAATCGAATGTATTCAATGCGCTGAGAAGACTAAGCCAAATGAGAATCTCAATCCTATTACGCAATAAATACACAAATAAATGCGTAAATAAACCGTCCATGTCTTCAAAAGCCCTCTAGTTGCCACCCAGTTTCTGTTATAGCAAGATCGAGTCTCGTTGTCTAACATTCTCACTTCAGCCTTGATTGCTGATGAGGTTTCAGGTCATTTGTTTGATCATTGGCCGGTGTGGTCACAATACAAGAAGCGTGTGTTTGACAAGTGCGACAACCGTGTGAACAACCGGGGAGCAGTAACAACGTCTTCCTAGGATGCTACCTAGAATTGAACCTCTACGTGGTCCCTCACCCGGCTCTTCTTGATCAGCATTTTGAAACTAAGCAGGCCGGCTGGGTCTATGCTTGGAGTAGGACCTTCAGCCCAGCAGGAAACAGCACTTTCATCATATCTCGAGAAGTAGGGTGTAGGATAATGGTGTTCGATATTCGCGATCCTTAGAGCCAGTCTTAAGTACTGCTTTCACCACCACGTTATACCCCTCGTTAGCGGCGTGGGACAACGGTTTCGACCGATGAATTCTCCCATGCCCATCTTCACTCTCTGGGTTTCAAGCAGTAGTTTTACATAGGCCTGATGTCTATTGCTAGCGGCGTAACGGAATGGTGCTGCCACTTTCTCCATGTTAATGCCACTACCAAGCGGTAGTGACTTAAAGGCGGTCAACAAGGCGGTGACCCATATCGTACAAATAGCCCTAAACCGCCGGTTCCTCCCTCTCCGTCCTTCCCTTTCCCATCTTTGCATTCATTCAAACCACTTTGCTACCTTGGTCACTTTTGATCGGAAAATTTTTCTTTTCTTCTTCAAGCTTCGCTAAGACCCTTGTACCCATTATTTTGTGTATCACCACCCTTAAGCACGCAGCACCTACCATCTAGTCTATTCAACACTACCAAGCCTCTGCGTTCAACGCCGTGATGGACAAACTCCCGCTACCTCTGTTCAAATCAAACCTGGATCGGACAGTAGCTCTTTATCATGCAATCTGCATAGGAAGCCTAGATTTGATCAAACAAATCACCGACTTGCCTCACCTTATCGCAGCAATCGATGAGTTCAATAACTTCGGAGATGACCATGTCAAAGGTGGTTATTTTGCCGGGGATGAGAAGGCATTTGCAGCAAGCAACTTTGGCGGTTACGTCAGCCCTCTCATTGTTGCAATCAATAATCGCAATGTTGAATCGAAACATGGAATGGAAATTATTCAATTTCTTCTGGATGCTGGTGCAGATCCAAACACACCGGACCGATTCCATCGGAATTTGCCATTATTTGTTGCCGCGAGCAAGGGCGACCATGAACTTGCGTCTCTACTGCTCGACAACAAAGCTGACCAGTTTATTTACTCGATCGAGGGTAGCCTTATTCTGCGGGATGGCTCCTTGCGTGAGAGCCATTGGAAGAAATGGAAATTGCTTGTTCCACTTGATGCTGCTATGCGAGGAGGCTATATTGAGCTAGCGGAGCTCCTTATCGAACGTGGTGGTTCACTATCAACCTATATTTCCTACTTGGGGGGCCTGAAACCATCAACTGAATATATGAAAACCTTCAGAGCCTTCCACTTAAGTGGGGTTTCCATTAAGAAGCCTCTAAGACGTGAGCCCTTTGAGTGGCTGAATCCAACCGATACTTTGACACTTCGGCGATCAGCAAGGATTGAAAAGAGGAGGTACAGCAGCAGGAATAGGATTGAACAGATTCAAAGCGATTCGCTGAATTTGAATCTACATGGTTCCCTGACGGTTCCCCAAGCTCATCATCTTTTTAGTTACTGCGTTGTTTTAATCCCGCTACAATTGGTACGATGTCGAAGCAAAATACTTCAACTGCCCTGGTTGTGCCGGTTCTCTGCCAGTGTCGCCACACCTACCCAGACGGACAGTCCATAGATCAGGATAACTTTTGTACTATACGTTCAAATACGGTATTCTTCTCAAATTGGCCTGCTAGACAATGAAACGTCCCATATAATAGTCATGTTCTACTGCAGCCTTATATCAGACTTGGGCTCAAACCTAAAGGGGGAGAGTACCACGAAGCCTCATAGGGGGTGACTAGTGTAGACTTGAATACATATCATCTTCTGTATTCGCGGTCGCAGGATGCATGGGAGCATTCTAGCCGAAAATGAAAAGGCCACGCGCATTTCGCACCCTAAACTTTCACAGCTTATGCTGGATAGGCATTAACCCCGCTTCTTTTTCCTTTGCATTGGCTAGATCCACACGACATAGCTGCGCGTGACTTGTCGCATCCACCACTATACAATTAGTATTTAAGCGACGGTTTTGTTCTTTAGAACAATCTTTCTCTTGCCCCATTGACAAGCCAGGAAGACATTGCTCAAATTTTCTTCGCCTCCTATGAATATTCGGCTTCTTTCAGAAGAGGAACTCACCCGCTGTGATGGGCCCCCAATTCCTTGTTGAACGGCCCCAGCTACAATTGAAAAACTGCGTTCTCTGTGCGTCAATGGGGATTTGGAAGGTTTCCAGGACGTGATGGACCCACTAGTTTCGAATCCCTGAACCTGAAGTTTTCGATATAGTGGATCTTCTCGATGTGATGGTCGAGATTGTTTCAAACCTTCTCTTCTACGGCTCACGATAAAGCCTTCTCATACTCAAGGCAACAGCGTGCTAGTTCGAGTACATCCCCCTGTAGTCCGATCGCCCCAAAGCTCAATTCTATACCGAACCACAGTCTGGTTGATTGCCAGCCCCGTTTCCGTTGAGCTTTTATCCTTGTTTCGCTGTCAGTCGCGTTGCGTAGGTTATTTCGTAGGAGTATTGGCGCTGAGTAAGGTCCAAGGAATCGTTGGTCGATGCATGGAACACTGGCTGGTGAAGATTAAATCGTAATATAGGAATACTCTCAATTGGGGAAGGTAAGGAGGCGCGAGGAAGGAAAAGTTCTAAACACAAATTAGCTTTATTTCTCCCCTCCACGACATTATTTGATTCACGACGGTCTCCAGCATTGCCACGAAACGTCCACGGTTGTTGTATTCTCGTATGACTCAAGGGTCTTGGTAAATGCAGTCTCTTCTTGGGCCCTGTGCTTGTGAGCTCTGTAGAAGGGCGACATATGCTTCGACCGAGGAGTCAGTAGATAGTTCGACATTTCAAGCTTTTATCCAGCATCATGCACTTAGCTTAGACAGCCTGTTAGCATAGACGGACCGACTTTGTTCGTATTGATCATTTGCATCCCTATTACCCTCGATCGATCCGGTCGCGGCTGACCGCATGAAATTGAAGCTCCTAAACATCCAAGGCTTTTGATTAACATCTTTCCTGTAATCAAGGGGAATTGACGAATAGATTGGGATAGTAACCTGAGCTCCACATGTTCCTGTTGACATGTTTAGGTCCTCCCAAGATATCATACTCAGGCTAGTCTGTAATACATGCACTGATACCGAGAAGCGTAGCACCGTTCCATGGTTTGGGAAAGGTAGGAAACGCGTTACAATGCGCACGGGTGGCCAAAATCGCAGCTAGGCCGAAAAAGGCGACAATAGTGACAGGGAGTTCCCCGAATATTGGTCTTAAAGAGAAACAATAGACAAGCGTACCATGAGATTCCATAGGTCAGAGTGCTTCCTAGCCTATCTCACGGGTGATCAGGGAAAGAGTGTGGGAAGAAGATAATTCTCTGTGCCAAGAACTCAGCTCACTGACTAGTAAACGCGGCTTGATAGGAGGCCCGAATCATAATGCAGATGCTTCACACCTACCTAGTTACTAGGCTCGGATCTCGTCTGAGGGCTTCGTCTATCCTTCTCTTCTCTATTGCCTCCAGCCCTGCCATGCTACGGAGCCCTTCTGTCCGTAATCCCCCTGATTAGATACGTGTCTCGCTCCTTCACGGTCTGCCAGAAAGCTTCGCCGTCACTTGTGCTTTCCCATTATCTGGCTTCACAGCTTCTGATAATCGCTAGTCGTTGCCAGTGACACTCCATGGTTTTATACTGATACCTTATCCATCTCAGAAGACAAAGATCTCTCGCCTCCAATTCCTCGGTTGAAGGAAATGAGATTTACTCTTCAGCTCGAGACTCTTCCAACTTGTGAGACCTATTTTGCTGTACGTTGGGCTCCATCTGTTACTGGATATTTACCCCACTGTCATTCATTCACAATAGAGACAAAAAAGATAGCCGATGCACACACTACACGCCGGTCAATCGAACCCTCCTCGACGTGGATGCAGTCCTGAAACACCTGAAAATGACGCTGCAAAGCCCACTAACGTCAAAGAGCTTCTGCCAGTTATCATAACGGTGATTCTAATGACGCCGAGAACCCGAAAGCCTCCTACTGTCGATGAATAAACAACCTGAGATGAAGAGGTGTCAGTGGGGGCAAAATAAGCCAGTCAGGCATTGCGCAGTGCGTCTATTCAACCAGAAACCTCGGTAATCTGGACCAGCAACTGCCTAGCCGACCGGGATCTCTGTCAGGAGGGCCGCCAAAAATAATTGGCGGATTTAGATGGAGTCAAATTCCTGCTTGCCATCAGTGGGCAGTCCAGGATCTGATGATGTTTTCACGTATCACTCGATTTGAGATACAAGAACGGCAGTTCGAGTTCGCCCGCGTGAGAGGCGCAAAAGCAGGTGAAACAGGTTACTGGATCTGAGTTCAAGGGAGTTGATCCTATCAGTGACACAGAGGAAAGCGAAGAGGAAGTGACTCATATGTGGAGAGTACAAAGAGCCCAACGAGTGTTATATCGACGACGAACACGAGGAGAGCGGTAATGTAGTGCTTCTATAATGAGACAGATTCGAGACTTTGGAGGTAAGGGCACCAAAAAAATAAAGGATTGGAGGTTAGCATATCGCAAGCGATTTAGATAATTTCACATCCTATCTAAAAGTTTTTGCTTTGATATCTCAAATACGATATAAATTGCACTCATGGTGTGGCTTTGTATCATAGATCTCATGGATAACCATGGGCACGGTAATATGAAAACATACGCCTTTGGCGCTAAGATATATTTCGCAGTCTCTAATCCAGATCGTCGGAGATCCCACTAATCCACGGTATCAGAATATGCCAGAACTTGATGTTTATGATGTTTCGACACGCAAAGCGTCTGCAGTCACGGAAGCCCGGATTGGATCACTGTTGCTGGAATAAATCGCACGCCAATCCAGACTAGGCGGTCGAGTCAGACGGTGACTAAGTTTGTATAGACGGACGAAATAGAAAAATGAAACCGCACCCAAGCTTAACATCAAGTTTGCATAAAGCAGGCGTCGATTGGTCGTTCACGTCGAAGACAAATTGTGGGATCTCTGGGATCCCACGAGGACCATACGTGATGGCTGGCCTACTCATAATGATGAAGCATGGCGTTGCGCTTCTCTTGAGTTAGCAACTGGTTCTTTGCGGGACGGAAGCTGATGCATGAACGCTGAAATGATCGCTAAGTGGACGTTTTTGGGAAGAATCACGCTGGGGCGGTTCACCGAGACTGATAATACTGGAGAATTGGATGATCCTCAGTCAAGAGTCCACATTGGAGCTAATAATTCAAGACCAGATAGAAGCTGAAGAAAAGCGGGGACGTAAAACGGGTTATTGAAGCATTGTCGTTCGGATGGTTGTCATATACAACCATTTTCTGCCGTATTATTTGGCGGTGCCTCTGGCTACGGAGGTTAATAGGGATCACGAGTGCAAGAATGACAAATGGTGGCTTTTGTCGGGCAGAATTCCCGCTTGGCCGACTTAGAGGTAGTGAGAATAGTTATGCTGGTACCAGTCTAGCCTTATTAAACCTAGCGTAATACGAAGTAACGTCGTCTATGCCCAATTAGGCTTTAGTCTATCCAGCGCTCACAAATAGACCTAACGTCGGCCAACTCGTCTTCCTACCCTTCCCTGCCTATAAGGCACTAAAACAAGCTGAATTCTTCCAAATAACATGTTTTCGCTAAACAAGCACCTGTCTCCTCTTTCTGACTAGTCAAGACACGCAAATTGAAGTTGATTGAGTCTCAAAATCGAAAAATAACGCGAAATGACATATACTCTCCAAGTCCTTCCACTCCGCCATCTCTGTCTTATGCTAATTACCCCCTGCTTGCCCTCCAGATCTCCGAAACAGGCCCTGACTCAGTCATTCTCTCCATATCCGACTCTCGCAGCTGGTATCTCCGCCGGGTACGTGGTGGAGAGATCCCTGGCGGCACACGAGCTCGCTTTCGCCGCTGCGGCAGCGGTGCCGGTGGTGCTGGTGGCGGAGTGGCCTCCACAGCTCTCTGCGGTGATAATGACCTGATAATTGCTCCTAGTGATGGGAGAGATGATGGGATAGATGCCTCTGACGGCGGAGGAGATGGCGCTGGAGCTCCTGCTGCCACAGGAGCTTCAGCTTCAAGCTTTATCGTCACCGGTTCCGGTCTTTTCCTCTTGATAATCAGGAAGACCTCATAACTATCCTTGATCTTGGTAAATTTCGTACAGAAGTCTGTGAGGAAGCTGTTCATGATCTTCCCGCATGCCTAGGAACCAAGGCTCCTTTTTATTTTTAACTGCAGTTGCAAATCG